AATTAGTTTAAGTTATCAGTTGAAAGGCCTGTAATGGTGTGTAATTAGTTTAAGTCATCAGTTGAAAGGTCTGCAGTGGTGTGTAATTAGTTTAAGTCATCAGTTGAAAGGTCTGCAGTGGTGTGTAATTAGTTTAAGTCATCAGTTGAAAGGCATGCAGTGGTGTGTAATTAGTTTAAGTCATCAGTTGAAAGGTGTACAGTGGTGTGTAATTAGTTTAAGTCATCAGATACAGAGCATAATGTGACAAAATTACTTGTATCATTTCAGTGCCTTTTGAAGGCAACAAACTGTACTCAGCATCATATGTGACCTGTCTTCTGCCTCCATGTTCTTATTGTATTCCAAACACATACTGGTTTATTTAGTGTAATAATCTTTCTGTCAACTATTACATTTGTATGAAGTGTAGTCAGCATATAAACTTATCATTTGTCTTTCCATTTCATTGCCATCATTAATCAGTGTGCTCCATTTCAAACTACCCTTTTTTTAGTTTAGCAGTTAATTCTGTTTTTTACAGTGATACAACATTTTGTTTTGTTTTTATGTAACCAACAAGTAATAATGGGCTTGTGTACCAACTGTCAACATATAGAGAGTGATCTTTGATCAGATAAGGCTCCAGTAAGGTTCTTACTATACTTCCCGAAAATCATAGTTTTCTGGGAAACCAGATCAGTCAAACAACCAATATAAAATCAGTTACTGCTTGTACACCAGCCATTCTTTAAATGAAACAAAGCTCTTGACAGTGCATAAATTGTGAAATGGATACATCAATTCTCGATAACTACTTTTAGCTGCATTATTACACTCGTTATTTTGGTAAGATTATCTTTTATTTTCTGTTTTAAGTTATCACAAGTTTAATAAGTGAAGAATGAACAAAAATCTACCCCTAGACATACTGCAATGAATATTGTCATTTTCAACAAGTCATCTTGTGACCAGTATTCTTTCAGACTTTATTATTTTCTCTAACCATTGACATACATAAAGCTATGAAATTATAGATTTTAGCATCAGTTGTGTCGTTCAAACGTCACAAGTATGAGTGTTCACTCATTCCCACTGTTTTGATTATGTATTTGTAGTATTGTTTTGTCTGCTCTACCGTAGTTAATATGAAGGAGGGTGAGACAAAATGTTCGAACGTTATGTATGGTGTTGTGTTTTCATCAAACTTCTTACCTTACAGTCCAGAATTTGTGTTGTCAAATGTGTCCACTTTTGGTTGAAAGCTGCTTTCTTTTTTTTGTGAAAAACGTTTTTTTTTTGTATTTGTATCCTTGTGCTGAGTCATGGTTTTCAAGAGGCAATAAACGTGGGGCCTTCGTCATTTAATCGTGATCTTTACTTTCATATTCGTCGTCACTGTTATATGTATATTCCTTATCCATTTCCAATTTTGAATCTTCCTCCAAATCATATTCAGGAGTTTTAACTAATTCAAAAATTTCATTTTCCTTAAGAGTACAACTTTCTCTTTCCATTGCAAGACATTGTGATTGGGTACATTCTACCCACACTGGAACAGTGCAGACAATACAGATGCTTTAAATAAAACAGAAAAAAGAAACCGTTTACTGGACCAAAGAAATGATAGATGTCAGCACTGAACAGCTGCTTTTCAACACTTACAGTTAGTTTACTTGGTAGGAGCAGAGATCGACAGAAAACCCAAATCAGGTAGACTTGAACAAAGCAACACAGGAAGTTATATGAGAATCAAATATACTCAATAAAAACACCACAGGAAGTTACATGAGAATCAAATATACTTGATCAAAACACCAGAGGAAGTTATATGAGAATCAAATATACTCAATAAAAACACCACAGGAAGTTACATGAGAATCAAATATACTTGATCAAAACACCAGAGGAAGTTATATGATAATCAAATATACTCAATAAAAACACCACAGGAAGTTACATGAGAATTAAATATACTTGATCAAAACACCACAGGAAGTTGTATGAAAATCAAGTATACTTGATAAGAGCAGTTAAAGGGTTACGTAGTCAGTTTTAGATAGATATGTTTGTTTTCAAACCATTTTATTTTATTACCTTCCATGGGCTTACCATATTGCACAGGTGTTTATTTTTTCCACAGTTTGAATAGTTGTTTATGGATAATTTGTGTTAGATTAAATCTAATTTTAAAACTGTTCTTACTTCTCATGAACTTCCAATGATTTTAGAAATGTTAACCTCACATTTTTAGTGAAACTATTGTTCAGGGTTTAAGTCTGGACATTTCTTCCCTCCTAGTTCATCGAGCACTAGCAATAGTTCCAAACATTACTGTGGCAATGAAGAAAGTTGGAGATAAAAATAAAATCGTTAGCAGACTTGGGACAGATGTAGCGGACAAGATTGCCGAGCTGAGACGGAAAGTGGAGCTAGCTCGAGATCAAGCCAACAGGGTAAGAGTTTTTTTATGTGAACATTGGTTGATAAAAATACCTGAAAAATATTTTTACTGAATTAATTTTAAAGTACCAGCACTTCATATGTGACTGCCTTATCTTGCACCAATAGCTTTCATGTTTTAATTTGTTTTTCATATATACGGATGGAATTATGACTGCCTGTGAAAATTTTATTTGAGAATTATTTTCTCTTAACGATGTCTTAAGGTAACTTGTCTAGTTAGTAAACATGCTTGATCAGTTCTCTTGACCCTGACTAGTGATAACTTGTCTAGTTAGTCAAAATGCTCGATCAATTCTCTTGATCCTGATTAGTGATAATTTGTCTAGTTAGTTAAAATGCTCGATCAATTCTCTTGACCCTGATTAGTGATAACTTGTCTAGTTAGTCAACATGCTCAATCAGCTCTCTTGATCCTGATTAGTGATAACTTGTCTAGTTAGTAAACATGCTCGATCAGCTCTCTTGATCCTGATTAGTGGTAACTTGTCTAGTTAGTCAACATGCTCGATCAATTCTCTTGATCCTGATTAGTGATAACTTGTCAAGTTAGTCAACATGCTCGATCAGCTCTCTTGATCCTGATTAGTGGTAACTTGTCTAGTTAGTCAACATGCTCGATCAACTAGACAAGTTATCACTAATCAGGATCAAGAGAGCTGATCAACCAGATTGACTAACTAGACAAGTTATCACTAGTCAGGGTCAAGAGAACTGATTAAGCATGTTGACTAACTAGATAAGTATTCACTAGACAGTGTAATAAGAATTGATCAAGCATGTTGAATAACTAGACAAGTTATAACTAGTTAGGATGAAGAGAACTGATCAAGCATGTTGACTAACTAGATAAATTATCACTAATCAGGATCAAGAGATTAGTCAGTCTGCTTGATCAGCTCGCTTGATCCTGACTAGTGATAACTTGTCTAGTTAGTCAACATGCTTGATCAGTTCTCTTGATCTTGACTAGTGATAACTTGTATAGTTAGTTAACATTCTTGATCAGTTCTCTTTACTATGCTAGACTATTTGTCTTTTGAAAATATAATTTCTGTGAGTTGCATAATGTTAAAAGCAGCCTGTAAACACAATCATTAAAAATGTATATTAACATTGATAAATTATGTTAGTTACAAGAGAGATCTTCCATGAGTGTTAGCAATAAATTCAACCTCTGTTTATCTTAAAACAATATTTAAATATTTTCATGTCATCTTGTTTTGTAGATTAAAGTAGGTGTAAGATTCTACGGTAACACTACTTTACAATTGAGGAATCCAACAGACATGAAACGTGCTGCCACCTATACCTATATGTCTTTGTATTTCCGCACTGAGGAGAAGAATGGACTATTGGCATATGTTGGGAATGAAATTGGAACTAACAAGTATCTGAAAAATGTAAATACGGTAAGTAACAATAATGTAAATATAGTAAGTAACAATAATGTAAATACGGTAAGTAACAATAATGTAAATATAGTAAGTAACAATAATGTAAATACGGTAAGTAACAATAATGTAAATATGGTAAGTAACAATAATGTAAATATGGTAAATAACAATAATGTAAATATGGTAAGTAACAATAATGTAAATATAGTAAGTAACAATAATGTAAATACGGTAAGTAACAATAATGTAAATATAACAATAATGTAAATATGGTAAGTAACAATAATGTAAATACGGTAAGTAACAATAATGTAAATACGGTAAGTAACAATAATGTAAATATGGTAAGTAACAATAATGTAAATACGGTAAATAACAATAATGTAAATACGGTAAGTAACAATAATGTAAATATGTAAGTAACAATAATGTAAATACGGTAAATAACAATAATGTAAATACGGTAAGTAACAATAATGTAAATACGGTAAATAACAGTAATGTAAATACAGTAAGTAACAATAATGTAAATACGGTAAGTAACAATAATGTAAATACGATAAGTAACAATAATGTAAATACGATAAGTAACAATAATGTAAATACGGTAAGTAACAATAGTTATGGTTTTGATATTCAAGGTGTCAAAACATAAATATGGTTGTTTTTATCATTTATAATAGTAAGCATTTCTCACAATATGATTATGAAATTTCAACCTTGCCTCTTTGTTAGAAGGTATCCAAATTAAAGTTACATAGCCATTTCCAGTGTTGTATAAATAAGCAGAAGATAAATTATGGAAACATAAATTGTTGGATTATTAGAATATATCATAGAAACACAAAATTTTTCTTACAGGACGATTTTATGGCTTTAGAGATTGTTGATGGCAAAGTTGTTTTGACTATGGAGTTAGGATCAGGATTGGATAGCACTTTTAGCACTACAAATGTTAATGATGGACAGTGGCATCGAGCTACAGTTGAGAGGTAGGTTTAACATTGGCTACAAGTTTGAAGGGCATGCAGAGTCATCATACAGTTGAGAGGAAGGTTTAACATTGGCTACAAGTTTGAAGGGCATGCAGAGTCATCATACAGTTGAGAGGTAGGCTTAACATTGGCTACAAATTTGAAGGGCATACAGAGTCATCATGCAGTTGAGAGGTAGGTTTAACATTGGCTACAAGTTTGAAGGGCATGCAGAGTCATCATACAGTTGAGAGGTAGGTTTAACATTGGCTACAAGTTTGAAGGGCATACAAAGTCATCATACAGTTGAGAGGAAGGTTTAACATTGGCTACAAGTTTGAAGGGCATGCAGAGTCATCATACAGTTGAGAGGTAGGTTTAACATTGGCTACAAGTTTGAAGGGCATGCAGTCATCAGTCTATCCAAATCAGGGAAAATATTAGGAGAAAGTAAATTATTTTTGTATTTTTAAAACACAAAACCATTGAAAATATCCATGTAGAGATATGCTTTTAGCATAGTTGATATTTTAAATAAGAGACAACATGGCTGGTGGGAAGCCATATTTACATGGTTCAGCCAAAATAAACTTGTGTGAAGAATAGGAATTTTAATCATGTAATACTCTGATCACAAAATCTGATGTTCATGTACAGTAACCAAAGTATTATTTTACTGTTGTATTATTGTTGATACCATTAGAACAAAATGCTATAAGTAAAAAACCAGGGCAGCTCACAAAGAACATAAGAGATAAAATTTAAGAAAAGCATAATAAATTTAAGAAATTTAAATTGACTGTTATGACGAGAGATTTAGAAGATTGTAGAAGATCAAGAATGTTGATGAAACAGAAAATTAGGTCATCAAAAAGAAGGTATGAGAAAAGGTTGGCTGAAAATGTAAAAGTTAACAGTAAGAATATCTTTAAATACATTAAGGGTAAACAAAATGTTAAGATAGGGGTAGGATCCTTGAGGGATGACAAAGGAAGGTTATTATCTGATGATTATGACATTGCTGGGTTATTAAATTTTGCTTTTCTTTTTTGGTTTATACTGTTGCATCATCGAGATCACGTGACTATTCTTACGCCCTCTACTTTCTAGAACTATCCTGTACTTTGGCAAATGCTCTAGCATTTACTAGATATAGGGTAGACTGGTATATAAAAGAGAGTGACAACGTGACGGTAATGTAATGTGTGTGTAGGTAGTGAGCAATTGAACTGCAGTCACAGGGAATTGTTGAAGTTAACGTTCGTTCATTATAGTGTTTGTTTTAGCGCGAATATTGAAATTAAGTGTATCGTAAAGTTCTATTCGGAAAGAATAAACCAGTTTTATTAAGTAAGGACTTGTGTCGTTAAAGTTTCGTCGGAACAAAGTTACGAAAGTTAATTAACAAACGAAGACGTAACAAATTGGTGTCAGAAGTGGGATAGAAAAAAAAGAGAAGAAG